GACATAATAGAATTTATATTGCCTTCGTTACAAAAATTAAATTCTTCTACAAATGTGCCTTTATCACAGCCTCCATTCGCCTTGGTAAGCTTTCAAACAACCTATGTATGTATTGCTCCATGTTGTTCCATATTTCATTTATTGCATGTTGAAGCTCATTAACCCAGATAGCACAGGACGTCCCATGGACGTCCTGATTTGGTCCCTTGTTGGTCCCGGACCTAAATAGGACGTCCACTGGACTTTCGATTACAGTTAACACTAGGACGTCCTTAGAAGGACGTCCTATTTTGGTCCCGTTTCGACAAAGCGTTTAGTTTTCGGTCCGAGTCCGGGACGTTAATGGGACGTCTATGGGACTTTCTATGCACTAGCATCGTTGGTCTTTGAATCGATAACTTGAAATTCAACGTTTTAATTTTGCAAGAGTATGAGGACAGAAAACCTAACCTATCATTTATTTTCAAATGAACAATAGCTACAATTTTCGGCATTCAATAATTAACTTAAATAAGTGAGTTAGATTAACGAAGAAAAAAGAAGGTTATATAGTGTTATTTGTTATTTTTTTGATGCTGGTTATAAAGTGAAGTGAGTGTTTTGTGTTGATGTGAGAATAAGTGATGTGTATTGTCGGTAGCCGCTGACGGAAAGAAAATACCTTAATGGCGGAAAGTTGGAACAAAACTAATTTGGACAAAATTATAATACTCAGTTTTGTCGACACAAGCTATAAGTAGGACCCAAGGTTTCATCTTGTCAGCGCTGTGTGTTAAATTTAATTCATTCCTGTTTTTTTTGTAAACTGAAAACGTTTAACTCTAGCTAGGTTTTTTAGGATAAAAGTTGTTAAATAAAGCTCTTTTATTGTTAAAATTTTTGTTATTATTACCCTTTATGGATTATGGTCAAATATCGTCCCTCGGACGTCTGATTTACGTCCCTAGGACGTCCCGCAAAGGTCCCTATGACGTCTTTTTGGGATGTCCCAGGGACGTCCGATTGACGTCCCGGTACCAAAATAGGACGTCCCTCGGACGTCCTTTATGTCCCTAAAGGACGTCTTTTAGACGTCCATAAGACGTCCGTGTGCTATGTGGGAAGGGTTCTGAATGAAGCTTGACGGTGCTGGATCGCCCAACCTAAGTGGTCCCATACGTGCTCTATCGGATTGAGGTCTGGGCTGCGAGCTGGCCAATTCAATGTAGCAATATTTAGCTCCTCAAGATATTCCCGCACTATCCCGGCAGCGTGCGGTCTGGCGTTATCGTGCATTAGCACAAAATTTTCGCCACTAAAAGGGCCGTATGGAACCACATGAGGTTCTAGAATATCCCTTATGTATCGGTCAGCCGTCATGCTACCACCATTAACAGCTACTAACTCCGTTCGCCCATGAAAAGATATTCCTCCCCATACTATTATTGATCCACCTCCAAAACTTTCCATTTCACGAAAGTTGCATTGGTAATGTCGCTCGCCTGGTCTTCGATATACTGGCATACGGCTGTCTGAAGAGAACAAACAAAATCTGGACTCGTCTGTAAAGAGGATATTAGACCATTCTTCTACATCCCATCCAGCATGGTCTCTAGCAAATTGTAAACGGCAAACTCGATGTTCTCTGGTAAGACGCGGGCCATTGGCTGGAAGTCTTGCACGTATATCCATGCTCTTGAAGACGATTACGTACGGTTTGTACGCAAATCTGAACATTTCGGGCAGCTAAAAGGTCATTCTGGAGCATTCGTGTTCTTAGGGCTGAAAGTCGTAAAAAACGATCATCTAGAGCTGTTGTAACTCTGGAACTGAAGACGCCGGACTGGCTGTTAATGAGCAGAAAAATTGAAAAGGGAGGGCAACTCCTAGCCTTTTCAATTAACGAAGCGTCGTACAGGGCCCTCGAGAGGTCACAATTCCGGGCCTATTATAAACTAGGAAGGGTGACCTTCAGGGTCCCAAGGCGGCCTGGCGAGGATCAGGATAATCCAGATCAAACTCCAGCACTGTAAAGCTGCTTCGGCGGTACTTACAGTGGCGATGAGGAGGTTTAAAGTGGCCCTGGTACAAGAACTGTGGATTAGACACGGTACAATATAAGAGGTTTAGGAGGGCTGGGTGGAGAGTTAATATATGACAGATCCACAGACACCCCTCGAACCTGCATAATTGTCAATAAAGGCATAAAAATACTGCCGTTAACTAATTTCTGTTCCAGAGATTTGACAGCACACAGAATCAAGATCGATGCAGGAAATGGACCGAAGGAGGTAATATTCGGATTGACATATCTACCTTCAGACGATCCTGAAGCAACACCTACCAGAGAAGTGGAGGAGCTGGTGAGATTCTGCAGGCGCAACGGAATGCAGATGATCATTGGCTGTGATGCAAACGCACACCACAGGATCTGGGGGAGCACCGATACCAACGGAAGAGGTGAGTCTTTACTACAATTTATTATGGCAAATAATTTAGACATAACAAATGTAGGCAATAAACCACCGACCTTTATAACAAAAAACAGAAAGGAGGTACTAGATGTAGCATCAACATTCTTGAGTAACTTTGTTAAAGACTGGCATGTGTCTGATGAAGAGAGTTTATCAGATCACAGACACATAAACTTCAATATTAAAGGTAATATTGCAAAAGAAACTTATCGGAATCCCAGGAAAACAGACTGGGAGGCATACAATGCTTCCCTGGAATATAATCTTCCGAAGATGAGAAAGACGATAAGAACAACAATCGACCTAGAAATGGCTGTGGATGAGTTTAATGACACAGTCACTAGCGCTTTCAACGATACCTGCCCCTTAATAGCAAGGAACTCTACCAGGAAAGTTCCATGGTGGAATGATGACCTGGCTATACTAAGGAAACAGGTGAGACAAAAATTTAATAAGGCTAAAATAACCGGCGAATGGGAACTATATAGAACCATACGCACCTGTTACAACCTAGCTTTCGGGGTTTTATAAATGACTGGATTCGGGAACAACATATCAACTATTGGGGAAGCACCCCAAAACAGGCACATGGAAAAGCCTTCATAGGCAGACCATGTTCCAAAAGAACTGGAGAACTACTCTTAATGAATAGGAACCAGTTGAAAGTGATAACAGGGTTCATGACTGGGCACGCCCCAGTAAAGGGACACTTGAACAAAATTGGCATGTACAATGGGGAACTCATGTGCCGACTATGTCACAAGAAACCAAAAACGGCCAAACACATACTGTGCGAATGCGAAGCTCTAGATCGCAAAAGACTGGCTCTTTTTGGACAACCCAAGGTTGATTCAACAACGTATAGAACCCACTCACCCAAGGATCTGTACAAACTTGTACAAGGTACAAAGATGATGAGTGGGTGCTATGAACTAACATGGGGTAAAACACAATAAGCCAATGGGCTTCAGTGTTATTCGGAGACACATAGTCAGACGAGCCCAGGAGAAAAAAAAACAAACTCTAGGACGACCTTGGCCCTCTCTTCTAGAGTACCGTCCAGTCTCCCTATGCCTTTGAACAACTCTTGAAATGGTACTCTGTTGTACACCCCGCCACGTACCTTTGACTTCGCCCATCATCAATCAGCGTAATTAACGGCCTCTTCATCTATCAAACGGCGAGTTAAACGTTGTGGACCAGCCATAGTATACACCTTTATCGTACAACTTAATATCCCGAAAAAAAGTAAACAAGAACCTAACAAAAGAAGAAACGACCAGTTTTTTGACTCGAGTTTATCAGTAAAGAATGCCCATTCAGGGAATACTTAAGAAATTTTAAAAATAAATTTACTGCAGCCAAAATATTTAAAAGCATTGGCGATGCGATAATTTTTATGCGGTGTTTATAAACATTATCCTTAATCTTATAAAAGTTGTTGGACTTTCTTAAAATAATTCTTATGTATGAAGTTTTAAATATTTTTAACCGGATTTTTCTTTTATTTGTATTTTGTACACTGGGGGCAGCTTGCAATACCTTTCTATTAGGAACGATCAAATCATGAAACTGTTTACATATGTATTTGAAATTTGTACATATCTATATGAGTAGTTGCGTTAAGACGAGTTTTTAGCCAAAGTTAATTAACTACGCTGAAAACACTTTGGACAGCATCGTTTTAGATATGAATCGATAGAGTGGATAAATAAAATAAGCTTTTTTTTATATATTTGCCTGATTCGTCCACACATTTTTTTAAAGAAATTAACCCAACGCATGTCTAATCTTGTTTTGCTTGCAAACAGAAATCATCATACCTTGTATTATTTCTTATTTATAGGCATATTGAGAGAATAACTCAGATTAGTCATCGTCTTTATTCATAGATAAAAGATCCGGTCCTGGAACCGGGATATTTTGAATATGAATTGTCATTTTCCGGGAGAATCACATATCAATGGGAGAGTTGGCAACCCTACAAACAGATGATTATCGATAACCGGTGTTTATTTAGGATGAAAATAACTTAACAAAAATTCTTTGTCCATTTATGCTAACCTATAATTTAGTTCTTTGGTTCTACTTATGGTGATATAATTTGTAGTTATCTTCATATTCAAATTAAAAAACCATTCAAAAATTCCAATACGGTACTGCATCATGAATCATACATTGTGGTGTATATTGAGTTGCATAACAATATAAAATGAATCGATAAATCTGAGTTTAGTCACCAAAAGGTTTCAACTGTACAAAAATAGAATCAAAAACAAAGTTCAACGAGCAGATAATTAATTTGTAATAAACAAACGAATCATGTTCAAAACAAGATGATAAGGAATTTAATGATAGGAAAAAACCCTTCAAATTGTTGTAGGTATCAAGAGATAAAACTAAATCGATTGTTCGTAATGTAAATTTGGCAACTCGGCGAACAGCTGTTTATCGATTACCGGTGTTTATTTAGGATAAAAATAAATTTACAAAAATGCTTTGTACATTTACCTACGCTAACCTATAATTTATCATTTACGAAAAACATCGTTGATCGGTTCATCAATATTTCCGGAGTAGTATAAATGATTTTCTTCAGTTATCGGACCGTTAGTAAAGCAGCGTTCGCCTGTCGTGCACTTGCTGTCTTGTCACAAAGTACCAAAAGTAAAATGTCGAATCCAGAAAATTTCAAAGAAGCCGCTTCTATCTATGAATTTAGTGCTAAAGATATCAAAGGAAACGACATTCCTTTAGAAAATTATCGGGGACACGTGTGTATTATCGTAAACGTAGCTTCACAGTGTGGTTATACGAAAAGTAACTATGCCGAATTGAACGAACTTTTCGACGAATATGGTGAATCTAAAGGTTTGAAAATTCTCGCTTTTCCTTGCAATCAATTCGCCAACGAGGAACCAGGGGATAATGCCACTATTTGTGAGTTTATTTCGAGCAAAAACGTGAAATTTGACGTTTTCCAGAAGGTTAATGTAAATGGCAGCGACGCCCATCCGTTGTGGAATTATTTGAAGTACAAACAGGGTGGGACTCTCGGAGATTTCATCAAGTGGAATTTCACTAAATTCATCGTAGATAAAAATGGAGTACCCGTAGAGAGACATGGACCCAGTACCAATCCAAAGGATCTGGTCAAGTCGCTTGAGAAGTATTGGTAGTTTTTGTTTTTTTATATATATATTTGTTGTATTGTTAGGTATCTCTATATCAATTATTTTTTTGAAATTGCAAAAAGTTTAGATTAAAAGAAATGTTATGCAAAGTAATAGATGTTTTATTCCGAATTTCCTAAAACTGTTCATTTTTTTAACATCAAAAATTAGAAAAATAAATTTCCTAGATTTCATATAACAATTTCAAGCAATCAGAAATCGTGGAAACAATTTTTAAAATTAATGAGTTAAATATTCAAAATTACAAGAAACCTTCTTAACACGTTGTATGCCGAAGCGAATTTTGTGGTGGAGTCGAAGTAATTCTTCTAAAAATTTAAGTTTGTTTTTACGTTTTGAGAGTACTTTTTTTTGTTTGGAAATATTACATATCTCTATCAATCTATGTAGAAAGTACGTTTAAAAATTTAAAAATATATTTTTGGTTTTGCTAATATCACCTGCAAAATTAATGTAGTATCTACATTTATTTTCCATTATCTATTTAGTTAGTTATTTATAGGAATAAATTCTTTACAAATTAAAATAAAATGTCACAGATAATTAGATAATTATGTAACAAAAAACATAACTAGGAAGAAATTATTTTCCTTTTGAAAAATCGTTAAAAACATTTTTTTTAATGCGAATTTGACAAAAAACTATTGTGAGTAGCCAAATTTGATATGGGCTATTTTAAGTTTTTAAACATAGCACACTCTGCATACACACATGTCAGTCAACATGTTAAGTATTAAAAATCTAAAATAAAAAAATAAAAAACCGTTGAATTAATTCAAGAATGAAAACGCTAAATAAGTGCAAAATAATAGACATGTGTTAAGAAATAGATGAAAAAACTAAAGCTTAAATTGTGTGAAAAAGCTGAAATACCGAAAAATCAAGAAAAACAACTTACATGTTTGAAATACCATTTAAAACACGTAATTCTGCTTAAAAATTTCTATAAAATGTGTTTCGAGTATTAAGGTCCGATTACAATAATAAGAAAACCGCTACGTCATAACTATTATTTCTAATATATATCATCTATAACTATCAATAAATAAAGAATATGTTACTGGTTTGATTTAAAAATATTATTCCTACATTTTTATATTACTAACACGTCACTAAACCCCTAGTAGGCGGCGATAGCCAACGAATTACTCCTCCAATTTATGACAGCTGTGTTCATCTTATTGTAATCAGAATCTAAAAACCTTTTCTCTACGGTCACTACTGAATTTAGTTTTTCCGAAACCATTTATATTCTCGCTCTTAAGATAAACAGAAAATTCTGAAACACCACATTCTTATGTCTTTTATCCCTACTTAATTCTAACTCTAGTAACATTCTCTGGTAGCTACTGGCCAATGGCTGTGAATATCATGTCCGCATCGTTGATAGCCATGAATTTCATGATTGACAGTTCTACGCGACGTAATATGTAGTTTGAATTTGCATGAATAAAGATAAGCGACGTTTGTTGAGTCAAACTTAAATTCAAAAATGAGCGAATATAATGACTCTGGAATTTGATAATACTTCTTCTGAACTGATAAATTATGCAAATTATTTAAGTATAAAATTTGTCTAACATAAGTCATATTAAATATTTAATTCTGTTTAAAATTACATTTTACTATACTCTTAATATGGCCGTGGAAAAAGTGCATTCTGTTACTCTGTTGCAAAAAAACTAGAACAATTATTATAATACGAATAGAAAATCGTTGAATTAAATACCATTCAAAATACGTAATTCTGCTTAAAAGTTACTAGAAAACATTGCCAATAACAACTCGCTTTTTAGCTTCTTTTTTAATAAAGGGCTCATGGATTCTAATAATTTTAATCTCGAGGAGGGCATTGCCCTCTGGGCTCCCCCATTGGAGCCGTCCTTGAACGCCTAAAGATTCCTACAACACAGACCGTGTTCTATATGCCTCATTAATAATAATAGTCAAGGGTAATATACCAAGATCTTGATAATAATCAGCTATTTTTGTTGTATATAAATCTCGAGAATATTTTAATATCAATTTGATGAGACATAATTTTAGGCATTAATCAATTAATTATTAATGCCAAAATTATGTAGAATCAAATTGTAAAATGTTCGAGAAATTTAGCAACAACAAAAATAGCAGAATTTTAATCAAGGTCATGTTATATTTGAAACGACTATTTCACTAGACCAAATATGGACTATTTTTCTAGAGAAATAGTCGATATTTGGTACCCTTGAATGCCCCGAACACAGTTACTTTGATCGGGGTTCTGGGATACAACGTGTGGAAAGCAATGAAAAGCCGATGCGCTCACTAAAAGAGGAACCGAGTTTATAGGAGAACCGTTCCTGAACATTGCAAAGAGCACTGCCAAAGGAATTATCTCAGAATGGACCGAGGGAGCAACACTCACAAACTGGAGAGATACTCCAGGGCTAATTCATTCGAAGGCATTTATTACCAACCCTTCCATTAACGCCTCTGCTCAGATCCGGGAATGGAGTAGGAAATATCTGCGCATTTTCACGGGATATAGGACTCATCCGACTGGAGCCTACGTCTCACCCATTTCAACCATGACCTTCATCAAAAGGTGTGGCTTGTACGATTAACTATAAGTTAGACATGAGCCACAATAGATCAATTTAAGTCGCAGTGGAAGGCGATGAGATCATTCCACTCATTCAATCTAACCTAACCTAGTTTCCTTTTTTAATTTCACAAATGTCAGAAGGGGACATAAAAAATAGGGAAAATGTTCGTTGCTCTCCCCCTAATAAAACGCTTATGATTGCAATATAATAAGTCAGGTGCTGCCTCTAGTTAAGCGATTAACTATAACAAATTTAAGTTTTACAGTTTCGTATCAACGAGTAAAAAAAATTCTTCTGTACTCCCATATATATATACGGACACGGCTGCATTTTATTTCAAAGGCGCGATAATTCAGTTGAATATAATAAAGGTGGGCATTTCGAAAAACGTTATAATTTTCCTAAACCCCATGACCTAAACTCTAAGCCCTAGCCAAGAAAATATTTAAATCTTTCCAAAACAGATATTTTTATTTAACTTTGTTGACCTCTAACGGCCAGGTAAGTTGGGATAAATCAACTTATTTAGAGCCCATAAATCTACAGTAGCTCCATGTACACATGGGCGTCGTTACACAATTCTATAGGGGGGGGCAAAATTTTGAAAAAATTTAGAATGTTTATTAGTTGAAAAACAGAGAAATTGAAAACTAAAAGAGCAATACAAATTAACAAAAGTTTTTAATAAATAAAATAACCCAACAAAAAAGACAAAAACTAAAATTAAAAAAAAAAACAAAAAACTTAAAACACATATTTCTAAAAAACAAATAGAAGGTGTGAGATAAAAGAAAAATATGAACAAGGAGACAGAGCCATACATAATATATAATAAAAATAAAATATTTATAGAAACACAAAAACAAAAAAAAAACTCACTCAAACACGTCGACCTAGTGTTCGTTAATTTTTAATTTCTTCTTCCTCTACCTAAAATAATCGATAACAGAAAACATGATTTCTTTTTAGTTTTTTGCGATTATTTTTGGATGCGCAGTCAGCCTATTTTCATTCATTATTCGCTCTGTGCGTGACAGCAGCGCCAACTAATTTATGAACTAACAGACTATATTTGCGTATACTGACAATACAATTTTTAATGGAATTAAAAAATATATATGTTGATTTTAATAAAAGTATATAGATTTGTAAAACAAGTGAAAAAAATAATTATTATATATTTTTATTAGGTACTTCAGCTAAAATAAAAGTAGTATAATCAATAATAAAACATAGGCAGGCTACGGTGGTGTAGGTGTCTACGGCGCGGCATTCATTTGTCAGCCAATTTTCTGGTAAAACGAGACACGGTTTCAGATTATACCGAAGACCATGTGAATTTATTTGCATGGTTCTCTATAGGATTTGATGGATGCCATATTAGCAGAAATTTAATTTCTGTTGATATGACATCCAGATTATTAAAATAAAATCACCATGCATTACCGTTTTCGATGATGGTAGGTGGGGTTTTCCGGGTTTTCCTCACCTGTAAGTCAAATGTCACCCGGAGCGCCACAGCAAATAATAATAATAATAATAATATTTTTCCCCGCACAATCTCAGCTTTTGGAGTTAAAATTCACTCATAAGGGGATGAATTAGGGAGAGAATGATTATTATAAGATTATATATTTACCAGAAAATGTATATGTTGCCTAAGCCTAATAAGTTACCATTGAAGAAAAGGTTAAATAATGTGAAAACAAAAACATTACCATTATATAATAACGTAGTCTCAAAACGTATTAACAAAAATAATTGGTAAATTTGCGATTATAATTCATATTTTCTTTATTTTTAGTTCGAAAGAGTCCATAGAAATTAATTAATAAAATTGGTTTCCTATCAATAAGTCACAAGATTGCATTTCAGCCACATACAATAATCAAAGGCAGAAATCTAATCCTTGCTCAACATTTAAGAGTTAAGGGATGTTGAACAACATTGTAAAATAATAATTTATTGTTTATTTAAAACCTTTTAATTTTCTGATGTCTACTATTTCCAGTATTAGTGTTATTATTACAAAAATAAAGGTTTTTTCTTCTTATTGTACAGCTATCCATTTATTTATTTGATTTAATTTTCATTTTGCTACTTAAAATTTATATAATTTACACTGTTTTTCTGCTAGTATTTTTACAATTTACAACACAGCAACTGTTATTGCTTTATCGCCTTGGACAAATTTCGCTTGTGTTTGATTTTGTAGGTTTTATTGTGTTTTTTTGTGGTTTTTAGTAGCATTGCAGCATTTAGTTATTGTCAAGTCAATTAGTGTCAAAGTCATAATAAATACATCTTTTAATTTTCTTCTCTCATTTACAAAGAATATTTTATTTCTGTGCTAATTTTACGTAATAATACGTCAATGCGCGTGCGCCCATACTTAATTTAGTACTAAAAATTGGTATCGTTGCAAAAGGAAAAAAATATTTTTAGTTCTAAATTTAGTACTAAATTATTAACTTGATTTAGGGCTAAATTTTAGTACTTAATTTAGTATTGTGACATACAGCCATTACGCGTTGTATAGTCGTAAAGGCCAGGGGGGGGGGCAACTGCCCCCCCTTGCCCCCCCCCCCAAACGACGCCCATGCATGTACACGCAATTTTTGGACACCCTCTATATTTTGTTTATAGTTAAAAATCACGTTTGTTATTCGATTTATTCATAGTATGCGATATGCATAACTAATTAATGTATGTGTATTAATTGTTTCTATAAATAAATTCTAATTCTTAATAAAAGATTTTAATATTTTCTTATTATAATTGTCTGTATTTTATTCTATAACAAATTCATGGTCAAATAAAGGTCTATAAAGCTTTACTTTTATTTCAAACTCTGTAAGTCCATCATAATGATAAAATCAATAACTATGTTTAAATATTTAATGTGCGAGGATTCGAGGATCGTCAATTTTGAACGAATTTAATATGTTAGGTCGAATAGAAGCACATTTATCTATTACTTGAAACGTACTTTTCGAAAGTCAAACATGAAGGTCGCTCAAAAATGTGTTTATCATTTATCGGTGATTAAATATTGGTATTTGTAACGTTAACTTAACGATAAAGTTTGTTTATAAACATATTTAATGATTCGCACATGGTTGTTATTCCAATTTTTTTCATTATATAATTCTTTATATTATCAAGTACCGTAATACTCGTAATTTCCATTTAATTTAAACATGAGTTACAATTTATACCCAATAATTTATGAGTTTTTGCGAGAAACAATTGAAACATCTAGTACAATTAAATATTTCCAAACAATTCTGCGTAGTCGAAAACAAAATATCAGTAGTTATACTAGCGTTAACGTTAACAACCTCTCAAATCATTTTTTTAACACGATATTCTGTAATATATATTCAATAAGTAATTTTTTTTATTTGGTCAAAACTCAAAAACTACTTGGTATAAAAATGTGAAATTTGGCATATATATTTTCTTCGGTATGCAAGCAAACATAATGCTGTACAAACCTTAATTAAAATCTATGTCTGACTTAACAAAATTTGACAGTTTCTTTCCTCCTCGAAAACAATACCATGTGTAACAAAATTTTGCATATCTGATAAGATAATATATTTAAAAGGAGCGGAAAAAATTGATTTAGATTAGGCCCTTTTTGAATTTACTTATTTCATTTTGGAGGACCTATCTTTTGTTAAAAATTAGTTTTTAACAATTTGTCATCTTCAGAATTTAAAAATAATTTTTATTCACCCAAATACCTTAATTTTGTATTATTTCATAAAATACACCAATATCATCAAAAATTAGTTTAAATGGAAGATTTATTTATAAAAATATTTATATAGGCAGCTCGGAAAATTGGCTGACATTAAATAAATAAATTTTGTCAATCTAGTATCTAACTTTTATTTTCTGCAAAGCTATTCTACAAAATTATATTTAAGAGTAATAAATTTTAGGTAGAATATTTCAAGTCCGTATCTGTTACATATTTGATTTGATGACCTATTGCGTCACGCTGGCCTGTGACATGACATGTTCTGGAACACTCAAAATTGGAGTAGCATAATGCCCCCTGCGCAATCGAGATAATCGAATACTTATTAATCGATGATAACGATAGATGGTAATTTCTTCGAGCATATACAGGGTGTTACTAATTCCCTATCCAATCTTTTACAGTCATTGCAGAGAAAAAACCTAAGGAAAAAACGAATACCTCATTTTTCTAAAAAGTAAATTTGTTGTTATTTTTATTCGTAAATTTTTTATTTTAAGATAATGAAATTTATACAATTAAAAATTTTTTTATTCTAATTTTATTATTTTGAAAAAAAAAAAAGGTATATTATCGATAAGCAGTGATAAGGGTTGGGTAAATACCCAGTGGGTAGGTAAATAAATTTAGGGTATTTGGGTATATACCTATCCAAAAGCAAACAATTATTTAAAAATAATCTCAAATTTAATGTTTGGTTACGTACATCAAGATAGAATGAACTAGATACGACATAAGCCCTATGTTTGCGGTATGACTGACGCACTTCAGGTAATGGAAAAGTGTAATCAAAAGTCATATTCGAGCGATCTACTGGTTTAAATATATTTCATGCGTTTCGAAAACGATTTGAACTATTTCCATTCGAATGACCAAACAATGACGTCACGTTGAAATAGGTTTAAACCAACTGCATCTGTTTTTGAAACGTTTTATTGAGAACATCACTATTATCTAGTGGTTGTTTAAGGTTAGCTGTATCGCGAAAAGAAAGGGTGACGTAATCATCTCGTGGATTTCGGAACAATCGAGAAAGGCCAGAGACGGCTCTAGTCATAACAAAACAAATGGCGTGGGCACAATGTTGTAATATTTCAACAAACACATTCAACAAAAATAAGTAGCGGCAAACCACTCACGAAATACCGGTACGTTTTCACTGGAAATCGAGGAAATCACTACACATTTTCTCGAAAATTGCAAAATCATCATCTAAAATCATGGTCGAAATCAATTCGTCGCTCACAATTCGAAATGGCGAGAAAAAAAAGACCATCGTATAAAATTAAGGTGGATTTTCAGTAAAATCACCTAAATTACATAAAATTTTTTTAAGTGATTTCCGAAATACAGGTACGTTTTGACCTTATACAAATAAATACTTTCTTCCATTCATAACAGCCAGCTTAACATCTTCTGTTATCGATCGTTTCAATCATACCGATACGATACCCACTGTTATTTCATACGTTATCTACTCCCTGTTAGCATAACATAACAGATTCGTGTTAAAATTAACATAAACGTTCAATCATAGGACCCAATTATTATCTGGTTTTCGTAGACACATTTATTAATTGAACATATTAGGTCTTTTCCTTTGCATCGAAAGTGTAGCGCTGAGCTACGTCACTCCTGAAAATATCGTTCTATCCATACAATTTGTATAAACGGAACGATATTTTCAGAAGTGGTGTAGCTCAGTGCTACACTTTCGATGCAAAGGAAAAGACTTAATGTTATGATTATGTTTTGGTATAAATGCCACTCCATCTTATTTGTCCATATTGTTAATGTATTAACATGGAGTTAATTTTTATTGTCTCTGTTTATCATGAATATAGGGACCGTGCGTCATGACTTTAACGCTAACTGGTGACAAAAATGTGAACTTTATGGGGGGTATTTATTAATGTTTTATACGGCATTTATTGTTTAATAATTATTAATAAAATGAAGTCGAATTATTTTCGTAATATCAATAACGAACAAACTTGTTGCATCCGTGGATGTACAAACACATCACTTTGGAAACCTGGATTTCATTCGATAGTAAAGAAATTTTATAAATTTCCACAGAGCACAATTATGCCTCACACCCAATGATACACATAATTACAAAGATTGCTTATCCATATGTAAATCAGACGACGAAAAGCGTATTTCACTGGGCAAAGTTTTCTTTTTATCTAGCTTGTATCAATTTTGAGAACTTAGTTGTAAAGAAATCATTTACAGAACCGGTTTAGAAATTAGAATCTTTAGTGTTTTCTTGTGATTAAGATTTTTACATATTTAAATGAACATTTTATATAAATATAATTTTACAGATAATTAATGGTTTATTCTGTTGATTAAAACTAATGTAGAATGTTATTATGAAATAAGAATGTCCAATTTGACAAAAATATCACGGCCCTTTTTACAATTTATTAACTACTTCTCATTTATTATTAAAATAAACAAATCATAAATAATACATTGCAATTACTGTCAAAAGAGATTGCAACAAACTTTAAAATATTAAAAATCCAGTGATTTTTTGTAAATTTTTTTAGTGACATTACCATTAAACATTATTCAGAATAATAGATAAGTGTCCAATTACATCTCTTACCAAAGTTGTTTATACCTCATATCAAAATTGTTTACATTACCTTTTCAAAATTATATTACATATTGCAATTATATATTTTATGTAGAATTGTTTCTGAAATAGTAGTCTAAAATTATTTATATCTATCTGTTATAAAAATTGTTTAGATCTCTTAATATTATTTAACTACATGGAAACTCAACTTTCCAATTACATAATAACATGTCTTGAAGTAAAACTTAAATTATTTTCTTTTTTTAAAGATTAAAATGCTGAAATTTTATTTTAAAACACATTTGGTCTAGAACGGCTCTATTTAGTGAGCACTAGGAAAGGCACATTGCAACCCGCTTTTCATAATTTTTTTATAGATGGGTGAGCAATCTATAATATGTATCATTGAACATCTCATAAACGTCAGTGGATGAATGACATTTCGATTAACATAAAGCTAAAAAGATTTATTATTATTATCAATCTTTCTTATTAATTTACATTTTTTAAATGTTATTGTAATACTTTTAAATTCAGTGTTACTAAATACCGATATTTTGACATTGGATACACTTGTTTAAGGTACAACTTTACAATTTATTGTCACTTAACCATTTAAATTTTTTGCTTAAAATGTATATGCATGTCCAGATTTTAATAATGTTTCACATTTTACGTCATTTTGACCATGTACACGATTGTTTGGTACGGGCCGGTATCTATTTTTAACTATATTTAATATTTTAAAAAATACCCTTTATTATTTACTTGCAATGTTTACCCCATTTAATTCTAAAATTAAACACTAGAGAGGGCTAAGTTCGGCAGTAGTGCTGCCTCTATATTTCACGCACGGTCCCTATAGACTTCTTTCACACTTGTAGAAAGTGTACCTACTTAACTCGAAAATTCCAAAAGTGGAGCTATCTTTGTTTGTGCAGTAACCCCACAAAATTCCAAACGTTTATTTAAAAATTAGCATGCTATTTAGCGCTGCGACCAATAATAGTGTTGCGGGCCACAAAAAAGCTTGGAGGGCGCAGGTTGAGTATGGCTGTAATAAACAATAATGAATTATTTAAATATTTTGGAAAAATTAATTTTTAACCAGACTTCTTGAAAATATATCGAGAAAGTTGTCTCTTTCAGTTCATTATTTTCCTGTGCATTTTTCCGTAAAAATAATTGCCATATTTTTATGTCAGGATTCTACCATTACTCGGTGTACAATTCATTATGAATCACCCTGTATAAGAATGAGGCGGTCACAATTATAAAATCGATTCTTTCATTTACACAATCGATTAATTATCTGTCTCGAGGCTCGAATTACTGAACCAACGATAAACGATAAGAATAAAAAAAATAAAAAACACGTTCATCACGCATATAAATTACAACGCGCAGGTTCAACCTCCACTCTCTACCAATTAATTCAAAAATCATGTTTTCCGTAAGAAACACACAGTGCATTTTTGTGATATTCAGCGTGCTACTCGCAGCAAGCTTAGCAGACGAAACCGAGTCTTGCAAAAGTAACAGTAGTTGTGTAAGTCTTGACGGGACCTGTGAAGGCACCAAAATGTCATCTCCAGACAGTTATAAAAACGCCAAATCAATCTACGAATTTACGGCAAACGATATCAGAGGAAATCCGATTTCGCTGGAAAAATACAAAGGTCACGTATGTATAATCGTTAACGTAGCATCGCAGTGCGGTTACACAAAAAATAACTATGCAGAACTGGAGGAACTCTATGAAGAATACGGTGAATCGAAAGGGTTGAGAATACTCGCATTTCCCTGTAATCAGTTTGCAGGCCAGGAACCAGGCACTAATGAAGAAATTTGCGAATTTGCAAAAACAAAAAATGTTAAATTTGATATGTTCGGAAAGGTTAATGTAAATGGAGCAGATGCACATCCTCTATATAAGTATTTGAAGCATGTACAGGGTGGCACTTTGGGCGATTTCATAAAATGGAATTTCACTAAATTTATCATTGATAAAAATGGAGTACCAGTTGAGAGACATGGACCAAGTACCAATCCCAAGGATTTACTTAAATCATTAGAAAAATATTGGTAATTCAAAATACTTTTATGCATTTTACACGTTTTTTTAGTTTATTTGTTTTTGTTAATATAATTTGCATTTTAACATATTTTTATGAATAAATATTTGATATTTTAATTTGTTGTTTGTTTTTGTTTGTTGTAGGGAAGAGTGAATTATTTTACTCATAGTAAAAGATAAAGAGGTAATTTAGAAAGAAAAGAAGCACAAATGCCGATCAAAATAAGTTAAAAGTCATATTTTTACACTAAAAAAGCACTTTGTTGTTTTGTTTAAAATACAGCACTTTGTTGTTAGTGTTATTTTGTACCAAAATATCAAAAAAATACCCTATATTAGTACAAAACTGCATTTTTTACTTTATTCGCAGCTCTTTCTGCCACACTGTAAAATTTTGAATAGATAGGGAATGTGGTTGTGGTTGACTTTACGGACACAAAAAATTTGGTCCAGTTAAGCTAATCTTGTAGTTTAGTGTCTTCGTAGATTCTTTAGTCACCCTGAAGTTTATATTTTAATTCTACCTGGATTTGGGATAATTTCCCATATTGTAAGACCAGAAAGAAGTAAAAACAGCCTTTGGAACTTTAAGAATATTGTATGCATAATAATAATAATAATTGGAATATTAAGATTTATTGTCTCCCTTCATTGGAAAGTTAATTACTGATTTTTATTAAATTTTGTCCCCTCTCAAAACGATATTGTCGACTTTTTCAATTTTCTAAGATCTATTTTATGTTTATTAATAATTTGGCACTAATTTTGTTTCAATATTCAGTTTTCTACATAAGAAAATTAATTTTTTAATGGATATTTAATAAATTTGAACTCTTATTCCTTCCTAAGCAATTTTGTTCATTTTTCTAATATGTATTTTATATTTTTTAACAAATTAGCCCCAAATTTGTTTCAATATTTCATTTTCTTCATAAAAAAAATAAATAACTTTTTAATAGATTTTTATTAAATTTGGCCCCCTTATCTACTTCCTAAGCGATATTATTATTTTTTTTAGATATTTTTATGTATTGACAATTTTTTCAGTACTCCGACTTCTTCATAAAAAAAAAATAAATTTTACCATCCCCTCTTTAAGTAATTTTGTCGACTTTTTGATATTTAATGTTTTTTTAACAATTTTGCATCTATTTTATTTCAATACTCCCTTTTCATTGCAGGAAACTAAATTTTAATGGATTTTAATTAAATTTGACCCCCAACAAAATCACTTATTTGTTCATTTTTCTAAGATGTATTTTATATTTATTAACACAATTTTATTTTGATACTCCTTTTCTCAAAAGAAAATTAATTTTGAAATTTTTTTTAATAAATTTGATCCCTTTATCTCCCATCTAAGCGATTTTTTTGGCATGTATTTTATATTATTTAACAATTTGACACCAATTTTGTTTCATAACTGTTTTCTTCTTAAGAAAATTAATTTTTTGTTCTCAAAAATCATTGTTAATCGTCTCAGTTTTTGTGTTTTGTTAAGTGATTAAAATTATTAATGTTAAAGGAACTTTGTTTAAACTCGCATCCACAACTGACTTGATACTAAATAAAGCGTTAAAATTTATATTAAATTTGACTACCTCATCTCCTTCATAAGCGATTTTGTTCATTTTTATAAGTTGTTTTTTATATCCATTAACAATTTGGTACTAATTTTATTTCAAAACTCATAAGAAAACTATTTTTTATACAACTGCTATGAAAAGTAGCGTATTTCTCATAACTTACTTAATTTCAAAACCATATATTGCTCATACCTACTGTGAGAAATATTTTTTCTCACGGCACTTTGCCCACACCACATACATTTATATGGAGAATCAACAAAAATCAGCTTTAAATAGTTGTCACAACTGTCAAATGATTATAGTTTTTGAAATTTTTATTAATATAACAAAACTTATTAAAAAGAAATGACATTCCGGATTTGACCATACAAAATTGTACTAATTTTACTATTAACTATAATTTTAAATAAATTATTTAACTTTAATGCTATTTCAGTTTTGCTAACCATAAAAATAATTATTAAGTTACATTACTTTTGTATTCTTTAAATTTGTGTAGTTGTAGAAAAAGTATAGTGTGTAACATGTGGGGAAAGTATTTTTCTCACTCGTGAGAAAAGTTGAACTTTCCCCACTTGATGCACAAAATCTTTAAATACATTTTTATTAAATGTTGCTCCCTTATCTACTTTCTAAGCCATTTTCTATTTTTGAACAATTTGGCACCAATTCTGTTTCAATAAACCGTTTTCTTCATTAGGAAATTTAGTGGCTTTTTAATGGATTTGTATTGAATTTGACCATATTACCCAAAAATTGTCATTGAATGCCATTGTATAATATACCGCTAGATGCAGGATGAAAAGTTATTTCAAATAATGTTACTTATAAAATATCCAGGTCCATATTTAAAAAAATAGGTTGAAGGTGGTCCGGAGAATACGAAACATTGGAAGCAAAATATGAAAACGTCAAATCAAAGAAAATTTACTATCAAATAAAAAACCTTTAAAATATTTTTTGGTATTTCTGAAAATAAATGAACGATAACCAAAAAACCGAAAAAATCGAAATATCTCAAGAACCGGGCCTGCTATTTTCGATTAATTTCCACCGCTAGATTATGCTTCAAGATACGCAATACCCTGTATATAAAAATATGTTTCGAGTTAGAAGTATGTGGGAAACTCATATTTTTTTACAAGCCTCGTATAACACTGAAAAAATTTGATATTTGATGACTATATTCTAGGTTTTAGATAATGCAGAACTTTTTATGAAAAATAACTTTTTTCCTAAAATTAATAATAAAAAGATTTTCCATATGATTACAACTTAGGGGGTACTTTTGGTTAAGGAATAAAAGTAGCTATTCTAGATACGTTGTAGGATCTATTTAAAAACGTTTTTTGCAGAGTTAATTTAAAAAAGTGAGGTTTATTGCCTGGTAATTAAAAATATGCATATAACCTTTTCAGATTTTGGTAAATTTATAAATAAATATAGATAGTTACTTTTTTCTTCAGCTAAAATCACATTCTTGGGTTTCAATCGATTTTAAAAATGTTGGTAAACCTCTAGCAATTTTATATCCAAAAACTTTTCATTAAATAAAAAAAGTGCCTACGTTAATTCGTAAAATTCAAAAAATGTAAATATTGAAAGGAAACTTTTAAATTTAGCTAGTTTTTTGATGTTATTATAAAAACTCGATATTTTTATATTGTCACGTTAAGCGTGGTTTTTATAAAGAAATGTCGCGATTTACGTGTTTTAAATAATTATGGGACTATCTATGTCCCGAGGTTAAATAACAAAATATATGAAGTTGGGCCTCAATCACATAAACACTATTTAGCATTAAACTTGGCTCCGTAGTCCTTAACTGTATAAGGATTCTGCTCCTGCTTTAAGAACCTAACACGTCTTTAAACCAGGGCTGAAGGAAACACAGTGTTCTCAAAACAAGTATAATGTAATTACAACGATTATATAATAATAAGTACACAAAACGTACCAACTCCGTTAATATTTGGGCACATGTCACAACCCCTAGCTAACTATTTAAAAATGTAATTATTTAAAATACAAAATAGACTTTTAAATTAGACTATGAAGGTCTAAGCTGGAGCTGCTACAGGGAATCTCCTACAAGGGCGACCTCCTATGGGGAGGATCCGTCCCTGTGGAAAAAGCCTCGTGCATCCCCTCGACATTACCTTTATAACTTTCACATAGTTTATTGTAATTAAAATTAATGTTTAATAATTATTAAATAACCGACCTTGCACATTATTGCTATTTAAAACAAATTGTTGACATAATTAAACAAAGTTTTATGTACAGGATGTTATTTAAATAATTAATTAAAATTAGGAAAAATATGAATTTATACGAATTGTGACAATATTTCCATCAACGATTTTGTTTGGGATCATTCCCTTTCTCTCTGACAATAAAGATATTTGATTCACGCTATTTACGTCTTTTGAAATCATTTATTAAGGGTTACATCCTTTAGAATTTAATTCTAAGATGTGTTAGCTTCATAATAATTAATTTCTGACGTAAATTCTTGGATTGAATAGACAAGGCTGCCAGAAATACTGTCCGGTGATATCTCATATAATTATTAAACTTACTTGAATCAATCACAGACATAAACTTAAAATTCTTGTTTTTTCTTTTGTAATATGACATTATTAAAGTGTTTGATTTTGGAATGTTAATAAATTGTAAGAGTATCTAGGGGCTGTTATTAGAGGTAGGGAATTATAGAATGATTGTTGTTGTTGGAATGAACTGACGTCGCTGGGAACAGAAGATTTCCTGAGTGTAAAAAAATATCTGGATATGGATCGAATAGTGCCGTTAGTTGGATGAAAAGAAAGCAGCCTGGTTTTTATATAAGGTGAGTCTTTTTTCAATAACGTATAAATTATACTTTGGCTCTGCTATTCCGTTTAAAAAATGATGAGGATGTCCTTGTTCTAGTAGAAAACACAGTTAAACATATTTTCAGAAATTTTCTGGATTTCTGCTTTGAGTTATCGTAGTATTAAATTGACTATAATGGTTTAATTAAAGGTATAATAATATTATTATTTTACAAAAAAATATCTCTAAAACTTTTATAAGCATAAAAAGTATTTCATGGAGGGTCCTCGCGCCATCATTTCCTCTATATTATTAGCACTGGACGCTATTGACTGTTTTTATTATCGGGCCCTGTGACAAAAAAAACTTTTTCTAAAAAAAAAACGTCCTCAGCCGAAAAAATCCTATAAGCTTAAACTTTTCCTCCAACTTTCAATCATATCATCTTCTCTTTCTCTTGTTATGTCGAATTTCTCATGCGAAAACATAAAACCCTATTGTCGGGCCCCCCTTATAGCGCTGCCGGGCCCCCATTTGAGTCGGGCCTGCGCCCTAGTTCTCAGAAACCTCTTCCATAAAAAATCCAATAATGTTTTAGAAGAAGAAAAAATCTTTATTGGGGATAACCCCAAAGGGCTATTGACCGGAGTCTTTCTGCTCATCTTTGTCCATCTTTTTTAAGTTGTATTTTTTATTTATTAACAATTTAGCACTAATTTTATTTCAATACTTATTTTCTATCATAGAAAAATTAATTTTCAAATATCTTTTTTATTAATTTTTATATCATTCTCTCTAAGCTCTTTTTTTAACAATTTGGCAGTCATTTTATTTCAATACACTGTTCTCTTTATAAAAAAATACATTGCGACGCCACTGATGGGTGTTTCCGGTAAATTGGCTGCTGATATGAACATATATTATCTGTAATCTGTGTTAGGGGTCGGGGATGAGCGATGTTTGACATACAGTACGTTAACTTTACAATACTGACTCCAGGAAAACGGTATAGATAAACGATGCTATTGAATAGACAAAGATAAAAGAATACATGCTATCCCACTACCAGTAGAGGTCCAATTATGGATCGCCGACCCGACCAAATATAATTAAGCGTCTCATCTTTATTTTTCTGGATGCTTTGGTTAACATACTGTAGATTATCATTATTAACCAATCAAAATGACATAAAGTGTTGTGTTGAGGTGAATGAACCTTATTAGATACATTTTGGAATAAAAAATGTAAGTTTCTTGTTTTTAATTTTTTTTTGAAAAAGTTGTTTAGGTTAAATAGTTAAAAAAGTATTATTCATATCTATAGATCATTGACCGTGTCAAATTCACCAGGCAGCCTACTGGCAGCCATTAGTACAAAAAATATTTTAAAATTCGTGTATCGGTAAAGTCGATCGTAACCTGGAAAGTTATAAAACAATTTTACTGTTCATATTTTTTAATATCTTAATAATTTTCATAAAAAATTGTTGCTATTCCCATCTTGTGTTTTTAAAAAATAAATTATTGATTAGAAGATAAGATTATTTGTAGTGATAAATACAAGGTACGTAGTTATTTCTAAATTTGTGTATTTTGTAATGGAAAATTTTAAATAAACACTTGTGAAAAAAGTACCTAACACTTCAGTTTGGGCGGAGGTAATTTGCCCACAAAATATTTAAAGCTGCTAATCCTATAGGTAATTTGCCCACAGCAAGTAAAAGGTCATCTTAATCCTGTTGGTATTTTACCCAAATTTATTTCTAACTGAATAAATCATAATAGATATATCTTTCATTTATTATTTTTTATATATTATCGAAAAGTAAAAACACATTATTAATTAAACTAAAAATTATATTAAACACTAATTTTTATTATTATAAAAAAGTAAGTATACATAAGTTATATTATATTTTTTATATATTTATATTTTATTTACATATTTTTCAACTGGGAGGGATAAATGTGTTACAAATTTTATATACTCTAATCTGCTGATTTGCTGCAGATCAAATCGCTGTATAAATTTTTCTAAACACTGAATTTTTTGTTTTACACTTTTGTCTTTGATTTTGCTTAGGTATTTTGTATTGTGACATACGTGTCGATTTGAAAGTCTTTAAGCTTTTCTATAAAAATATATACAGAAGGATGTGTACAGTAGAATGAAGAATTAAACCTTGAATGAAACGACTCACAGGCATTTGTAGTTCTTGTAATTGAAGCTGTTTTTTCTGCCCATATACTTGGAGGAAATGTAGAATTTTCTTCAATATATGTTTCTAATAGGTAATCGGCATACCTATCGAGAACGGCATTTTCTGGTTTACTTGCCATTAAGTCAAACACAAAACAGTCTCCAACTTCATCGACGTTTAAATATGTCAACCCAAATGATGTTTTAAGCCATTTTCCGGTATCACTGTTAGTTGTATATTCAGTCATTAATCCCAGAGACTGAATTTTACGATACCACGCTTGATGTAGATGAAATCGGCAGCCATTGATTACAGTATTAGGCCACATATAAATTAACGCCTTATGAATTGCTATTTCAAAATCAACGAACACTTTAGATGGATTTAAAGCAATACTGTAAGTTTCCAAAATTTTATAATGCAATAACGAAAACAAATGTTTGTATATATCGGTAGATTTGTTTGGTAATAAACAATATACCAGGGGCACATAGTGTCCATTACACAGCCCATGAATGGTAAATAATTGTAGGAAAAACTTTGTACAATACGAAAATGTTCCATCCATATACAAGACGTTCATTTTACACAAAGTACGAATATTTTGTCTCACATGTAAATACAATAATATTATTTTCTCTGCTATTTATTAAAAGAAAATGTTCACCTTTACTGGTTTTAAATGTATTAGAATATAAGTCAACTGCATCATGCACTTCTTGTATATTTGTAGGTAATGGACCTGGTAGTATTTTGCGACGACTGTTGTATATAGTTTTTCTTATGTAGGACACATCAATTGTAGTTAGTGACTCTGGTAAATTAGTAGCAAGTACTTTACGGATAATTTTAGAAGGTTTTTCCGAAATATCATCAACTGCTTTTCGCTTACACGAATTAGAAATAATTTTCCTGTTTAATTTCGGTTCATTTGCTTCATGGCTATGAATTAGGTTGCCTCTGGATACTAAAAGTTCAGGACCAATTGTAAATACAGTGGCATTACAAGCATTTGTTTTTCTTTGGGAGCATCTCCAAGAAACTTCTCCACTTTTCATTTCTCTATCTTTGGCAAACGTAAAATTCTCCAAAAGGAGTACATCTTTCCCGCGTGTGCTTTTAATCAATGTAGCTGACATTATAAAAATAATTATTGTTTATAAACACTCGAATTACAATCATCAACGTATAAAAACTGACTGAAATATAAACAGTAAACACCCAAAGTAAGTACCTATTAGAATTATTAATAATCAGGTAGGTACCTATTTGTGGGCGGATGTAATTTGCGGGTTTAGGTACCTGAATGCTACTGTGGGCAAAATACCAGTAAGATTAACGCACCCCTTTACTTACACAGGTAGAAAACAGAGATTTGTGGGCAAAAAGGACCCGCCGTTCAGTTTTATTATCGAAATAGTTTTTCAGAAATCTATATAAAATAATTAACTCAAATGAAATGATATTTTTACACATTTAATAACAGCATCTTGAAATTTAGAAAACAAAATATGTATATGAATAGTATTCTCTTATACCTGATTAGAAAAAAAATATGAAAGATGAAGAGCTTTTGAGAATAATGTCTAAACAAAGAATTCTGTGATAATGTGATAAAACTAATAAATAGTTTCCTTAGAATATAAATTCTAAGGTACTAACTACTATTGCATCATTACATAAAAAACTACGGTACTACATACATATGCAATCCTTTATACAACGTTGTATTTTTAATTGACTATGTTAAGTTCTTAGACTAGTTAAATATAGAGAGGACTCGTAACACCGCCGGAAATCGTGTTCCATTATGAAACTAATGCATTCGACCAGAGGCGTAACATGTTGAAAATAAAACAAGTTTTATTTATCTTATTGGTATCTACTTTATTGCTCTTTTCAAAGCGTAAAAATAAAAATAAATAAAGAACAATAAATAGGACACAACAAAAATACCTATGCAGGATGCGCCACGCTGAACAGGACGAAGCCTATTGGGAAAACTGTAAACGTGTTTAAAATACCCTTTGACACAAATATACAACTGAACGGCGGCTACAAATTAAAATTAGTTTTATATATACAGGGTGTGCCAAACCAGATTAAGTGTTTACTATACGGAGAATGGTCGCACTGCGCAGCTTTCTGAGTGCCTTTTAAAAGGAGATAGAAAACGCCGCCATTTTGATCGCTTATTACGTGTTGCCTACATCTTGGCGCAATATTTTTAATAGGTGCGTTTTAATCATCCGCTTCTGCTTCGGAATTGTCGGTTTTCTTGTTTTAACCTGACAGGTTAAAACGACTAAACCGACAATTCCGGAAGCAGAAGCGGATGATTAAAACGCACCTGATATTTTGCTTGCTGCTGTCAGTGTCAGTGAATATTATTTTTGGAGTCACAGTTTATTGCTAAAGAATCAGTTAGCTCACTCGGATTAGTTGCAAGTATCCAAAATAACATCCTCTCCAGGGATTCAAATTTAGGATACGCAGAAGACTGCTGTTTTATTATAGGCGGTTGTCATATATTGTATTATCCGAGTTGCGCAGTGTATAAACTGGAACATTGAGATCAAAAGTGCCGACGCAGAGTGAGCGATCTGATTCTTTAGCTGTAAACTGTATCACAGGGTTCAAAATGGCCGCGCCCTATGTTGGGCGTGTCGGACCTCTCTCTTGCCTCGTATAGTAATCAAAGTATGTGCATTTTGGTTCCACTGACATTTAATTCTAACCAAACTTTTAACAAAAACATCAATAAATTTGACATCAATCATATTAAAAACAAAACGTCACTGTCAAATTTATTTGCTTATGAATAACACCTTGTATTCACAATAGAGGGCGTATGCTACTTTTCGGGTCCCAATTGTTATTGTCCTGCTATTAAGACATGGTCGACAGGTAAATTGGTGAACACAATTATTACCTATTGGTTTAATAAATTATGTACATTTCGTATTTATTAGGGAAAAATTTCAATTTCTTACCTGCAAATATCAGTAGAGAAAATTTCGAAACTACTATCTTTGGAAACTGATGGCGGATATATCATTGAATCTCCCCCTCTTACTCTTTTACACGTGTCATTATTTAATGATTCCATCCTACCGTAATATGGAGTGAATGGAGAATAGTTCCATCTCATTATGGTACCCAATTTGGAAATGTCATCAATGCCTCTGTTTACTGTGTAAACTCCATCTGGATGTTGTGTTTTCTAAAAAAAAGAATAATATTTAAGATAGTTCCTCAATAAGTAATAAGAATTTAATAGGTAAAGGGGTATTTGAAGAGTGTTTATTAAAACTATTAGTTAATATTTTATAAAAATTATCTGCCAGATTGTGTGAATAAATTTTAGCAATGGAATAGTTATTGGTAATGTTAATAAAACATTAAAACAGAATGTGATAGAGGTAGGTGTTCCTCACGGACCAGTAGTAGGTCCCATACTATCCATAGTGTATTCAAAACAGAGAACGTCTTTTGTCATTTTGGCAAGTTTCTATTTTGGATTTTTCCTCAAAGAGAAGCAATTGGACATGTCATAAAATTACTTTTTGTCCTTAAAAATATACTTACAAATCCTAAATACGAGAACTTCAACATCTGCACCACTTCGGGAAATTCTTCGTTGTATATATACTCGACGTTCTTCATAACTTTTGTTTTTTGTATGACTTGGTTTCTGACTATGTTACAAGCGTATCCCATCTCCTCAGTCATGTTAGCGAAGGGAAAACCCTCGAACATTAAGGTTCGTACGTCAGAGTGGATGAACAGTTTTACGTATTCTGGCGGGAAAATCTTTTCCAGACATCCTGTTACAACGAGTTGTTCTACGGATGACGTAATTTGTGTCAGGACCTTAAATTAAATTAAAATTTAGTGGTGGGAGAAGTTTACATCAATTTTATTAATTTTAAATATTATTTTTCTTTATTTCGTTTCTAACTAAGAAATGTGATCACTGATGCTGGTTAGCATCAAAAATGTTCAGACCCTTTTATATTACAATAGTCATAAGTAGAAAGCTGAAGCGTGCTTAGGACGTACCTCTATTAACTGTTAGAAAGAAGAGAAATTACTTCAACAAATGAGATGAAAATACTAATACGATTATTACCACTTCACTATGTGATACAAAGGGAGATAGGATTAGAACATTATAAAAGCATTTTTTTCTAGTGAATTGTTTAAATCCGTTTAAAAAAGAAGAAGAATTGTTCACTCCAACATATGATTTACTTTAGAAACACTTTATCAATTGTTATTGATTTACATTTCTTATTTGACCATTGTGATAATAACAAAAAGTAGTAATTTCTGTATTATTTTAATTAAATCATGTGTGCTGTGAAATGTCAAACATTAAAGAAGGGAGCTGTCATTTAATTGCGTGTTAGTCACATAAAAGTATAGTTTTCAATTCGCAAGGAATGCTGTTATGAGTAAATCATGCTCTGGTTGAAAAATCATTATCTAATTATTATTATTACCTACTTACTAGTAAAGCTGGGTTAATAACGGTCACCATGTCATCTTCAGTATGATCACCAGAGAGTTCTTGATCGAAAGTTATTGCTGTATGTTTCTCATAGGTAACACTATCCTCACTGGAATCTGTGCTTAGGATACGCCTTGTCAGATTCTGTCTAAAAAATAAATATGTCTATTTCATTTAAGCCTTAAAACTTAGTTATTTGATTTGTTGTATAAGCTAGTAAAAGTATGGAGAGTTCCACAAATAATGTTTATAAAGTAGACCATGGAAAAAATCATGCCAGATGCGCACAATTCTTATTTTTTGAATGACAGTTCTGTATTTTAAAAACGTGCTTATTTTTTCGTGTGACTAGTATATAAGTTAATAAAATGGCAACGGGGCAACAGCTAGTCGTCCTGTAGTCGACTAGAATTAGAAGATATTATGGTGATGGGATATTAGTCGAACCCACTGAACTATATATTCAATATCAAAATCGGTGGTCGAACCGAATATCAGTCACAAAAGGCATTTCTTTATAAGCTTACCATAACTTACTAGAACATACTTATGTAACCAAAGCAATTCTTTAAACGGTTTGGTTACTTCCATGACGTCATACGTTACCAAAATACGTAACTACTACTAACCATGATGTTTTTAGTGGTAAGGTCAGTAAGGTCCACATTTTAACATATCAAGCATGCGCAAAGTATTGTAAAGAGATTAAATTAGATACATTTTTCTGTGGTTACGGGTTATATGGTTCATTTTGTATATTTGGGTTGGGCATTTTTGTATTTACCAAAGAAAACTCTATTTACTATAAAAGAAATTATATTTGAAATACAGGGCACTGAAATAACTCTTCACGAGAGCGATCTTGATGACCACTGGATACTGTTATTTATATTGAAATATAAAGATGAAAATATGAGACTACTGGCACAAGTATTTATCATTGTTATTTCATTAGAAATAACACTTATTAATTTTTTTCTTCCTTTTGTTTTTTAAATAAATAAAAAACAGAAGAACGAAAACCAAATGACATCTGTGACAAAAACACTTTGAGTTATCTGAACAAAAACAAAGTAAACAAATCCTCAATTTGACATGTGACAACGACAAGTGCTACGAGTTACCACGGTATGTCTGACGTCATCAGAGTAACCACAACGCTGTTACGAAGAATGTCGTGGTAAGCTTATAAAGAAATGCCTAAAGCTCGCGATAGCGGGGATATCGTTGTTGCCACATGTTTGCTGAGAAAGCCCGGCTGCATATTCGTATCAAGCGTCCAGTATCGCAGGCTCACCTTTTCCGAGTTTCCTCGAATCCGTTCAGGTATACAGCGCGCGGGAACGCATTGTTCAGGCTTTTCGCGTGGTACTCAGCGTTCGATATCGCAACATATGTATTGACAAGATATGCGCCTCCTAAGTAATATTTTTAAATTTATGTGGCATATAATCCAAAACACATTCGCCTTAAAGTTTTATTACAAGTATAAACAAAGTAATTTTAATTTTTTTTGCTTATTTTAAATACTTATTTTCTCCTAAAGGTATATTTTTCTCCACGCACAGGAGTAAATTGTGGGGTACTTTCGCCTTCTTTTTAACTAAAGAAGAAACTTTTCGTCCACTTTGCACTTTTTTACGTCCACATGCATGAACCTTTCTTCTTGAAACTGATGTTGGTTAAACCGATATCTTTTTTCCTTTTCGGCATATTTTTTTTGTCGAATTGATCCTTGTGTCTGTACGTGGTTTGAAAGCATTGTGTAACGCTGACATTAACGTTGACTCTGACTTAACGTATTTATTATACAAATTTATACAAACATCCACCGCCGGAATAAAATTATCAGGGTCATCTTCGATAGATAAGACCATGACAAATGCCAAAAATTAATGATTGCAATTTCGAACGTTGGATACATCTAGTATAATGCGTTCTCGCGCTCTGGATACGTCGATGCATTCGGCGGTACTCGGAAAAGACGAGCCTGCGATACTGCACGCTTGATACGAATATGCAGCCCGGTTGGCTGGCTATGCCTAATAAAAAATATTAAATACTGTATATACATATATACCTACTCACGTAGTAGATTTAATAATTTTTGTAAATGCTGTGAAATATTGATAATATTTTTAAAGGAATTATAGCTCTTAATTGTTCATTTATAATGTTTTCTTATTATTATAATTAATGTCAAAGTGTTATTTTATGATTTATTATTTTCGTAATCGGGCACAATCTGTTGAAATAAAGTTTTTATTTATTTATTCGTTTATTGAAAAAGAATTAATCAATAAAAAAAATATAGATACTGGCCTTTTATAGTAACGTTGTACTGTTTGATAATTTTTATAACCTATTTTTTACTCACCTGTAGACATAAGGTCCTACTTCTTGTACAACAGGAAGTGCCCCTTTTAACACATCTTCCGAATTTGTGACAGTAAATAGGTAGACGTTTGTTATTACAGGGATCGGTAAATCAAGAAATCTGTCCCATTGTTCTGTATCATTTTCTAATCGTACAGACTATAACAAAAAAAAAAAACATTAGATAGGTACCTGATCGTTATTTATGGTCCAAGGCGTAATTTACAAATTTAGCTAAATATCAGTGGCGTAACTAGTTGTGCTTGTACCCTCACCTCTCACCGCCTCTGAGATATTAGTAAAATTTCTATATCTTTAACAAAATGTTTTATAATCTCATAATAAATTTTGTGCTTTCACCTTCAAAATATAAGAGAATTCCTAGATTAATAATATTTGAGAAAACAAATGCAATGACTTCTGGTTCCAAAACTCTTTGAAAAATGTCCAACGACCGGAGCACTATGAGTTGACGCGCCAAAGAGATTCAGCAATAAAACTGCGTGATCAACATGTGTTAAGGGCTGGACCCTAGAAATCTTTTTTAACCAGGTTATAGGCCAGGAGCAGGTTTGCGTTGATTATTAAGGGATATAATCACTGTGTCTCTTCAACGCATCGAGTATAGATAGGAACATCCTATGGAGAGTTGGTCTATTGGCCAATTTAGCTGTAGTTGATACTCATAGCATTTGTTTAGTTTTTAAGTATCCAATTGTTATACTAACTGGCGTTTTGTTAGAAGATACCTAGCACACAACTTTAAAAGTCAACGATATATCGCGCCACCTGTCAGTATTGAGAATTGAATCTTGAAGATATACGTTAATACCCTTTTGACTTTGCTACTGCGCATAACTTTTCTCTTTAACGTTAATCTACATGTTATTTCCCCCACACCTCCGTTTTCTCAGTCGAATCGATCCAATAACAATGAGGATATAGACTTAGGTTCTTTTGGCATTGCTATTGGGCATGATTTATTTCTTTAACGTTAATCTACGTCACGTTTTCTTCATAGTGCCGTTTGAATCGGACCAATAGCAACGAAGATATAGAATTAGTTCTTTTAGGCATTGCCACAGCGCGTGATTTTTTTCTTTAATGTTAATCAACATGTAATTATAATTTTTGACCGTAATTTTGAATGTCTGACATCAAATTTGTCTACAAAAGGTTTCATGAAAGTTCGAGAAAAATTTACAATTTTCAACCGTCATTTTCAATTAGCTATTTTTAATTTTTAATTTTTGAAATCAGATTTGAAACTTGCGGCCACAAACACTTTCACATACTAAGTTCACAGCATGTAATAAAATTTCTAATATTAGCCACTTTTGAGTGCCAAATGATAGCCTTTTTTCAAAATTTTGATTTCTTAGTTGGATATTATTTTGTAATATTTAGGATAATGAAAGCATAGTTGTTCAATGTCAGTGTACATTATGAAAAACAATACAAAAATAATTTTAAATTTGATAACGAGTGTTAAAAGTATGAATATGAACATATTCCTTAATGAATTAAATAGGTGGTAGTACATACGTATAATTTAGTACTTTGGTGCTGATTCTGTAGGTGCGACACATGATTTAGTTGTTGCAGCTTTTTCTACTAATATTCTATGACAAACCTGTCGGTCATGAAACTGTTATAAAACGGCTATAAAATTGTAGTAAAAGTATCATAAACCTCTCATAAAACTGTCCTAAAACTGTCATAAAACTATCATAAAACTATCATAGAACTATCATAAAACTATCATAAAACCATCATAGAACTATCACAAAACTATCATAAAACTAAAGTATCATAAACTGTTTTAATCATATTTGAAAAACCGCCAATAGTATGTTTTTTTAAACGGGTTTAAGGCATACTTTGCAATGTCCGGGATACCTCAAGGACCTGTTCTTGTACTATTGCTTTTTAATATTTTTATTACCGACATCTTGAAGTGTACTGATGTAAAATACCTTTTCTTTGCGGATGATTTGAAAAGTTTAAGTTCAATTTCTACTAATGCTGAACGTATTGATCATAATATAGTCAGGAAAAAAATTGGTGTGGCTTAAATGGTATTCCTTTAAATTCATCCAAATACTTTATAATATAATTTTCAATAAAATCTGGACTTATTTTATTTAATTAAAGAACTGAACTGAAACGTCAGGTTTATGTCAGTCATCCTGTATATTGAATGAAATGAGAAATGAAAAACACTTTAATGACTTTTATTTAGAAAATAGCAGAATTTGCCTAATGTCCCTAATCAAAAAGAAAAAAGCAGGTCGGTTCTAAAGTGATAGATTTTGTTACCAAAACAACTATAGGAGTTTCTTCTAGAGAAGTCACATACTAGATATAACATTAGAGTACTGAAGGAAAATATTTTCTACAGAATTATTGACACAAGGAAATTTCTAAATACATTATATGCGGAAAGTATAACCCATATAACAAAAAAAAAACAAACCCCCAACAAATTTTTAAGTTGCAATTTTTTTGCCTATTTCAAGTGCAACGTGTGCGAGATTGTTATCTGCCATGAGAAGAATTATAAATTAGATGAGAACGACCATGAAACAAGAGAGATATTCAGATTTGTTTCTATTATTTATAAAAGTAGATATAGAGATTGACTTAGACGGAGTTGTAGAAGATTTTAATAAACAAAATGGAAAAATAGCTTATAAAGAGGTATTACTCTTACATAGGTATTATTTTTAGGCATAAGTACATTTTATTCGTATTCAATACAATATTTTATATATACCTATATTTGTTAGTTACCAGCAGTGTATCAGATCCTCTATTACATTACCCTTCACTATTTTTTTACAAATTTAATACATTTACTTTTTAGTTACATGACCCAGGTCAAAGGCTTTCCTAAACATTGAATCTAGTTACGCCGCTGCTAAATAACTATCTTGTATAACTATAAACTTACCGAAGCTACTTTTAAATCCACTATACAAGGTACTCCATAAAAACTTAGCACTAAAACCCCAGCCAGCACTATCACTAAAGCGGCGGTTAACACAGTTAGCCATTTAATAGTCAAACCTCTTGCACAAATATTTTTCATTCTTAATAATAGAGATGTTTAACAATTTGCTCCTGAAACTCTTTAACTCCTTTCCTTTTTCTTTTGGTAGATTTCTGATATTCTGTTCCAAATATCCTTCTTGTGTTGTCTTCCTGAGTTACTGATTACGTTTTTGGCCTGGCTTTTTGAGTTAAATTCCTGATCTTGTGACTTTTTGAGTAAAATATATGATCCTAATTTCTAACTTTTTTTATAGTTATTTCGTTATCTGTTTCGTTGATTAAAATCAGTTTTAATGGCACATGTTGAGAAGATCTGAAAAAAAATCAGATACAAAATCATTTAGTTACTAAGATCAGTTGGCACTTGATATAAAATTGGTTTGTTTTTATATGATAGATAAATGAATTGTTTTTTTATCACATTTATCTAAATAGAAAACAGGATTAGAAGTCTTGTTATCGATATGTCGGATGTTATCAGATTTATTAGTGAATTCTATTTTCTAATAAATATTTTATTTGTTTATGCCATGAGTGGATTTTAGATTTTTGAGTTTTTTGTTTTTGATAGTTATCAAAGTCAAGAATACTGTAGGGTACTGTACTATAGTCTATTTTTATGTATGAGAGAGTAATAAAACAACATTTCTAATGCAAAACTTAGTACGGTCATTTTAAATATTTTTACAGAATAATCTAAATATTTCCTAAAATTATAATAAATGTACCTGAACTATTACAAGTTTTGGCTCTTTTATTGGTCCTTTATAAACATAAGCTGTACAGAACAATAGAAAAAGGTTTGGACAGGCCAAAAGCCTTGTGTATTAAAGATTACATAGCCGTATCTTAAGATTATTTTCAATAAGTACCTGTTTGCCAATTTTGTTTTATTTTAATTCCAAGAATTTCTTACAGTAATCGAATTATAAGTAGATAAATACCTTCCCAACAAATTTCACCGAAAATGCGATTATAGGTTTTCCATTTAGTAAGGAGGTCCAAGTTGTGTATTCTTGACAGTTACTAAATGTCTTTTAGTTGCAACTTGCAAGGTGCAGTGTGAATTTTAGTGTGATCATGGAAAATTTGGAAGGGCTGCGTAAACGACAAAAAATCGGTCCTATAACAGTTAATGAAAAAACATTAATATTTAATTGTTTTAAATCATTTACAGACAAACATTTATGTAAAAGTGTTGATGACACAGTGGAATTAGTTAGTAGTACGCTTGGTGTTGGGAAATCTACGATTTACAGAGTTGTTAAAGAAGAGAAATGTGGCGAGTTTCAAACAGCACGTAAAGCTACTGGAAAACCAAAATTTCAATTAGAAAATCTTTTGAAAGAAAGATTTCGAAGGAAAGTGCATGCGTTCTTCTTTAGAAAAGAATTTCCGACAGTAGACAAAGTTCTTGCCACGGTTCGAGATGATAAGGATTACCCTGAAATGAGTCGAAGCACACTATGGAAATTTTTAAAAGAAATAGGTTTTCTATGGAAAAAGCATTCCAGAAAGTCTATTTTAATAGAAAGAAGCGATATTGTAGTATGGAGAAGAAATTACCTAAGGACTATAAAAGAAATGAGAAACCAAAGAAGAAATATATTTTATTTAGATGAAACATGGATCAACGAGGGACATAAACCAAATAAATTTTGGCAAGATGAAACTGTTACAAGTCGAAGACAGGCTTTTTTAAATAATTTATCTACTGGTTTAAATCCACTATCAGGAAAGGGGCGCAGACTAATAATAGTACACATCGGTAGTTCAAACGGTTTTGTTAAAGGTGGTTTATTGACTTTTGAATCTACTCGTACCTGTGACTACCATGAGGACATGAATGCTGATGACTTTAAAGAGTGGTTCGAACAAATTATAGATCTTCTTCCTCAGAACTGTATAATAGTAATGGATAATGCAAGTTATCACTCGAGACTTATAGAAAAAATACCCACAACCAAGTGGTTAAAAAAAGATTTACGGAATTGGCTAAATTCAAAGAATATTAAGTTCCATCCCGGTTCTGTGAGAAAAGAACTGTATCATTTGTGTTCCCTTCATAAAGAGAAATTCAAAAAATATGAAATTGATGAAATTGCAAAAAATCGTGGGATGACGGTGGTTAGATCACCACGATATCATTGCGAACTGTTCTTTTAAAGCTGCCAGTTTTACAAAGTCTTGCGTGAATATTAATGAAAGTTTGGACATGTGGAACCACCCGTTGAGGAAATCGGGCTTGATACATTCTTTTTGCAGCTTGTGCATTACCGTGAGCCATTCCGTAGACGAAATGAATGTCTGCCATTTCTGCATTGGTATATTCGTACATTTTGAACACAATAATAGACAATAAATTATTACATACATACATTCATTTTAAATAATAAAAACCATGATCTTTTTTTTAAATAAACTGTCATGACTGATTCCGCTACCATAGAAACCTCTCGGTTGTTTGCAAGGCTTGCTATGCATGTATGTACAATTGTACATTTTAGCAATTTGACTCTGAAATAAAACGGATTTTATTTTTTAAAGCGTAAACTATGCATCGAACGAAAACTCTCAAGAGATTAAATTTGTTTAAAAATAAATGAGGATTTTAAAAATAATTTTTGTTTTAAGATAAAGCAGTGGCACACTATTTTTTTCTGCAAAATTATTCAATACAAACCCCGTAGGTATGGACGCCACTGGTAGAAAACATAAATTTGTACATCAAAAAATGCATCTTAATGCATAGTATACGTGTACCAAATTTCGTAAAGATATCTACAATAGTCTCACAGTTATTGGAAAAAATAGATTTTTTTCTGAAAACTAAAGTAGCACAAAAGTTAAGAGGTTTAGGACACGTGTTCATATGAACTTTTTGCCTTAAAATTAGTTAAAGATTCACTATTTAAAGTTTGTACAAGTACTTAATAAACACCCTGTATATGCAAGTGCCTTACCTCCACATAATAGTCACTTCTTCAGCCTGTTGAGCCCCAAATAGGGCGGAACCGATCTTAGAATGTTACCTTCTTAAATGCCAAATAAAAGGGTTTGTGGTATCAACAGATTCGGTTGTGAAAATGTTTTATAAGATCCAATGTAAGGTGTTTGTGTCGGACAATTCCTAACTAAAAATAGGGACTGGCGTTTGGTGTTAATCACCCTGTATTTTTGTATCTATTACTTTTCATTTGAGAGCGGTTTATAGGTCGTTGAATTTTTGTTTCTTAGAAATAATTTTGGCTGCAAAAAATTATATTTGGCATGTGTGTAAATTGAGCATTAAAGGATATCAAATGCGTTTTTGGATAATAAGAGATAACAAAATAATTAATGAGAGCTTATTATTCATTATTCATTGATGTTTACAAACAATTTATCATTACTAGTTACATATAATTATCAATGAAGACATTTCAAATATTTTAGTTTCTTATTTGATTTCTAATCTGACAAATAATAACAAATTGTCTTACATTTTGACATTTTCTTAAAACAATGCCATAATTAACTTGGTCAAATGCCTTACTTAATTACATAAAGTTATAAGTTTTCATTGATAGTTCTTGTGGCACTTTCATAGATACAAAAAAGTTTGTATTGATTGATCTCCGCTTAATTAAACCATTATGTTCTATCATTAAAATATTTTAAACATATTTGTATATTTTATTAAAAAAAGTTCAAACAGTTTTGATGATAATTTTTTATTCTTTTCTTAAATATTTTGTTGCGTTTTTCGAGGAAATATCAATCGCCTTCTATTTCGACGTATGTATTTTGTTTATCATGTTTAAATTGTTTAGATATAAGCTCGGACGTTGAAGCTGTTTTTCGTGGTACTTCATTTGGTGAAAGTTGAGTGGGATCGATACTAATTGTTCTTTGTCAAATGCATTACCTTCCAGAAATGGGTTAGAAGTCTTCCTGCCTTCCGCAAGTTCAGTAACTAAAAGTTTGCGATACTGTTGTTACCTATAAAGTGGCTCCTTTCTATACAGGGTGTTTGATAATATATGCGTAGGACTTCAGGAGGTGATATCTCGTCCAAAAATATGAAAAAAAAACGTTTCTATTAACTTACCCTCTAAAATGCACCATTTTCGAGATACAGGGTGTTGAAATTGAAAAAAAAATTTCTACGCCACTGAAAAAAGTACGGTTTTGAGACACCCATTTGAACCACCAATGTTTTCTACACAAAAAAGGTACTCTTGGTCATACGCTCTAAAGTCGACCGTATTCAAGAAAAATCAAATTTTGAAATTTAAAACCTACTTGATGAAACGCTGCCTAGATCTATATCTTCAACAGGAATAATTATAAAAGTTTACCAGTAACCCACCTGTAAATGCTTCTTGTGGAACACTCATTGGTGTTATATTGACTAACAATTTCTTGACAAATACCACAGCACAAAACTAGACATATGAACATCATTACAAACTAAATTACGACATTCTGTCTTTTAATCGTTATTTAAAATATTGATTTATTTCGGTATTAGACCTTACAGATAAGGAAGTGTTATTGATACTAACTCGAAATTTTTATGTCTCTGTAATATCTGTGACATTGAAAAAATATATAAATGGCAAGAGATGTTTTCCAAATAATTTATTAATAAATTGATTGGGATTTTTGGTAAAAACAATTTTTCTAGGTCAAGAATTGATAACTGTTCACCGTAAAGTCTTTTTAGCACACAAATTTTTAATAGAAATACAATTTTATTGTTTTTTTTTTATAAATTTCCAAAAATTATGACAAATACTCCAGCACTTGATAAAAATTTAAATAAAAATCCTCCAGTGGAGTAAAAAATAGAGGTGTAAAAATTATCACCAATCCTGATATCTTTCCACGGTACATATTTTCCAAAATTCAGTTTTTGTCAAAATAGACCGTCAGATAGTCCCCCATTTTCGCATACAAGCCTCGAAGAGGGTTAAAAAGTATTTCGGTTTTGAGTATGTAGAATAAAAGGAAATTTTTACGAGTGGCTCCCTGGGGATAATATATGGAAAATTCGATTTTCTTTAACAGTAATATTTTCTAACCCTAAAATGCACTTATCCATTAGTTTATCGAAAATTTATAAAAATTGTTTCTCAGAAAATAGCCCCTTAAAGGATTAAAATTTCTATACAGTGTGTCCCAGATTCGCTTCTCTATACAGGGACCTCGGCTCCTATTATACCTACAGCAAAGGTTAAATGGGAAAAGTGTTAGAGGAAACTTAGTGCATAATTTGACAGCTGTAAAAATGTGACATTATTCAGACACTTTTTTAAAACAAATAAGATAGCGTGTATGACATGTCTCAATCGTCTTTTGTTATCCCAAAATCCGCCTCAACTTTCATTTTTCTTATGGGAGTCATATTGAATTTTTTGATTTTTGGAAAAAGCGAAAAATTTCCAGTCTTAAGATGTCTCACAAGTGCCTAAAAGATTTAAGAATACTCGAAATATTACACATTTCTTTCTAAGAAGAACTTGATTTATTTGTCAGAAAATAAATCAGATATTTTGGGACAAATGTGTGTGTTAAAGAAAGCAAGTAGTAAAAAACTCGTTAATTTAATTAACACTTAAACCTTTGAACAACCTACAATTAGATACAAATTGAAAATAAAAATCGCCACATAAACATTTTAATGTAATGTAAAATGTAATTATGTTCTTAACTGCTTCGTAACTGGATATTAATTTACAAATTTGCAAAATGACGTCCATTTGCATAGAAACATTTTTGGAAATTAGTGACTGTTTTTCATACAACCCTAGCAAGTGTATTTTCATTAATCTTTCTAAATATGTCCAAAACTCTTTGTCTTAAGATTTCTATGGTCCCGAACTCGTGCCAGTGTACTTTTAGTCCCGTCTTCCTGAACAGCTGCTATAAAGCTCCTTTAACACACTTCTGACATCTAATTTCGGCACTACCAATTGGCGGACTATCTGTACTTCATCGAGGCTCTCCCACTTCCGGTGTAATAGGCCATCGTGAAGATATAGGGAATCCCCTATATTTGGCTGTCTAAGCCTAAGCCTAACCAAAGTCTAACCTGAACTAGTGAGGACCGTAGCTGTTAGTTACGGGGTAGTGATGGGTCCTCTTCTTCCCTTCCCTTCCTTTGTCTCTTGCTAAGTAGGTCTGACTTTGCTATTCCCAAACAACCGTCAAGTTATTGTCTTTCTTCTGTCCCTTTCTAAGGCTATCAGGGTGATTTCCTCTTCGTCGCCTCTGGCTTGATAGTGGTGCCTGAAGACTAACTTCTTCAACTGGTTCCTCTCGTTCTTTGAGCATTTTATAGTACCGGCATTGTCGTTCTAAACAAAGTCGCCTGTAGAGAATGTCTGGGTTGCTATAGAGACGGCCTCTTCGATGCATTACTTCCTGGTTATTGCTAGAAAGTCGGCTAAGTGTGGGTGATTGGCCTCTCCAGGAAACATATTTGGTGTAATTATTTTTTGTTGGACTTCGTGACGGGCTTCGAAACATTGATCTAGGTGACTTTTTAACCTCATTCTCCGATTATCGATTTATAGAACGAGCCCTGTTTCTACAGGTTCTTTGAAGATTCTTTCGCAATTGAAGCATCTTCTGCTTCCATTTTGGCTGTTTAGTTTCATATTTTGTAGTGTGTTTAAGGTTTATGAGAAAGTAAGTTGGAGAATAATATTAGTATCGACCTCTCCATTTTCCTGGAATCTAATTTCTCTCACTTTTACACGACACCATCTAGATATGAGTTTTTCGCTTCATATTCCTGGGCTGCAATCATTTTCTTCCTCAACGTCTTAAAGTGCTGTAGCCGAAGAGCTTGTTGCATTTCCACATCTTGTAGTCCATCAATGAATGCCTGTATGCCGATTTGTTATTGGAAATTTTTGGGCGCCTGCGGATAAGCTAGATGAAGCAATCTTTTTATATCGGCCTCGAATTCCTGTAGACTCTCATTAGAGACTACGAACCTTTAGCTGCCTTTGGAATACCCGTTTCAAATGCTGCTGGCCATACCTTGTATCCAAGGTTTGGACGAAAGACAAACAGCTGGGGGAAGTAACTGTAAAACGGTTGCTGCCTGTCCTCGCAACGACATTATCAATGAAGTCGCCATCTCTTTTTCGACCCAGCCATTGGCTTTATCTTCAGCTTTAAATTGGAGTCTCTTATGTTGTCTGACCGTCAAACGTGGGTAGCTTAATGGTCTTGCTGGTATGGTTTTGTGAAACTGGGGTTCAAATGTGGCTTGGCTCGATTATAGATGAAAACGAGGTAGTGTTCAGCTTCAATATTGCTTACCGAAGCTTGGCTACGAATTATTCTTTCTAACTACACTATTTCAGTTTTAATTTGCCTTTCCAACTCCACTCTATCAATTTCTTGTTGTCGCTCTACTGTTCTTGTGTTGTTGTGTTAGGAGATCTACGTGACTGTTCAGCTGACTTACCTCTTGCCTGAAGTTTTCTTTAATTTGTAGCAAGCCATTCATAATTTCCACCTCTGCTAGTCTACGCCTCTCCTCCTCTTTTTCATCATCCCTTCTGCGTCTTTCCTTTTCCTGTTCTTCGTTCGTCCTGCACCTTTCCTTTTTCTCCTCTTCTTCCTTCCTTCCTTCCTTCCTTCCTGTGCTTTTCCTTTTCTTCTTCTTACTTCTTTCTGCTTTTTCCTTTTGCTTCTCTTCCTCCTTCCTGCATCTTTCCTTATCCTCTTCTTGCCTTTCTTTCTCCTCTTCCATCTTCAAAAACCATGCAAGTGGGCCTGAAGTATCAGTATCTGTTTCGTACGCAGTGGATCTAGTATTTACCACGAATGCCTAGGTAACTTTTATTTTATATCCCATCGCTGTCACCAATGTTACGCTGGTTTCTGGTAATTCAATTTATTTCAAATTCAACTTTTACATTTCAACTATACAACTGATAACATATAGTTCCCTTGAACCTTCTCGAACCGTCCAAATGTTTCTTGACACGGACTGACATTTATAGACAGTTATAGACTGTTCTCTCTTCTTCTTTTATTCGTACTGCTACTTCTGACGACCGCAGCATACTGTTGGATGATGGATGACATTGTACTTCTTTTATTCACTATAAAATTGTATGGGAAAAATACTTATTTCAAAAATAATTTATGTTTCTTCGTAATTTAAATATCAGGTCTGGTGAATTTATATAAAATATCAGAGTATTTTAAAAAGGAGTTCAGGGAGGACCTTTAAAGATGTAAAGTCGTTTTTGAAATTTTACTTTGCTATGTAAGCCGGTATTTGACCTTCAACCAAAAATAATTTGTGTTTTTTTTTTTTTTCATTAAAAACAAAGATGTGAAATGAAACAAAATCGATAATTGCGTTTCTGTCCAGATGTCTTTGAAACCGAAAACCCAACCTGATTTTTCTATTTTTAAAGAACCAATAAATTTATCTTGAAAATGCACATATTTTACAAACTGTTAACGATATTTCCATATTATTTAATTTGATTTTCCGAACCCTGTATATATAAAAAAAGGATTAAACTTCATTATTTTAATAAAAAAAAAACAAATCAGATGTATAGGAAAAGTGTTTATAAGTTTGTCCCAACAACGATCAGAAACCAGTCATTGTCACCATGGATTCTACGCAATAAACCTAATAAACTGATATAAATTAATTCAGGTATCAAACATTTAATTTTTTAATATTACAACTACTTAAAAGTTGATAAAAATAGATAAAATAATTAAAAGTAGTACCTATTCAAATTGTTTTGAGATGCGGCCCATAAAGATTGTTAAATACACCTACTAAATAAATGTTGGTATTGTTCTATTTAAATATCCAATTTTTATGTTGAATTCGATATAAAAAAGAAACATCATTGATTATAGTTTTTTTTTTATGATTTAGGCTCATTTTACTTATAAGTAGGTATCAAATTAGAAACTAAATAGGCCAACTTGCACCTAATTCTTTTTTATTACTCTTATTGCTAACTAAGTGGGGATACTATACTGACATGAATTGATATAAATGTTTTTCAAAAAAATCGTAGTTTAGTTATAACTGTACTTTGAAAATTATACAGTATACCTTAGCAACATGGGTTCCTATCCAACAAATCGACTAACACTCATTTTCTAATTTTTACACATTAATTTTGCATTTGAAATGATGCAATCTAAATCGCAGCTTGATATTATATATTGAAAATTCAGAGTCATAACACGATAAGGAAAAATTAATTTTATATACCATGAAAAACACCCACGTAACATCAATGTTCTATGAATTATGTGGTGGAGGTGTTTTAATAGCAGTGTCAAATGAAATTTTTAGTTTCTCTGAGGACTCGTGGACCTCTGAGGCTGAGGATGTTTGGGTCACTGTTATACCCAACCGCCAAAAACGATACAAGGTTCATATTTGTTGTGTTAACATACCTCCCAGGGCACTAAATTTATTTTGCACTAAATTTCTTCATATTTTTCTAAATAACATAAATGATAACTATATCATTTGTGGCGATTTTAATTTACCACAAGTAAAGTGGTGTAAAGTGGTGTAAAGATACT